AAAACCTCAGAAGGAAGGATAATTTCTAATTTTGGAATATGACTACGTCACATGAAAACCAAGAATTGTTCAATCTTCTATGATTGACTAGTTTTGGACTGTATTCATTTTTGTTCGTACTGCCATGACCTCTGGCATTTACTAGCAAGAAAAGACTATTTATAAAATAACGGTGATAGTACGCATGCTCTCATTGGTTAATAGGTGTGTTTAGATGAGAGTATGTTAACACGGTTGCAATGTTTTAGATTGGGACGTAGGTTTGAGAAATATTTTATAAAAGCAATAGTAAGAGTACTTTTTCCGTGTTTACATGGCCCCATCTAAACACTTGGGGGGTTGGGAGAATTCTCGAAAGTTATGCAAACCCTCGCCTGCGTGTAGGGGTTTGTAAAACTTTCTAACAGTTTCCATAACTGTCTTGAATTCTCTGAACCCCCCTCATGTTTAGATGAGGCTATGTAAACATGGGAAGAGTGCTCTATTCCACAGTGCAAACTTGATTTTGAATTTATATTTACTAAACTTCTGGGTTGGGTTGTTCAAAGCCCAATTAAGCTAACCCAGGATTAGCATGAACTTTGATTTCATTTTTGTACATTTTCAGTGAGGTTTTTTTGTTTGTTTGTCTTTTAGTCTTGTGTTTGAATAATCTCAAACTTCATAAAACATAGGCAGTGAAAAACATTTTACACAAGAAAAATTAAAGGTGGCCAGACACGAGAGTTCTGTTATGTTTTTTTTAGAGGAAGAACACACGCGTGTAACTCAAGATGGCAGACACAAGAGAATACTTTAATGAGCATGCGCACATGGCAATAACCGCTGTATACAATGTACTACATATCACCTCCTTCCTTAAATTCTGCACAGGCTGAACAGCAAAGGTTAGTTCTCAATAACAAGGAGAACAACAACAACAACAGGGAAACTAAACAGGAGTTAAGCAGTCCTAAGCAATGATGTCTCTTATTATATGGCTAGCTCTGTGAGCAGGCAAGATGAATCATATCCTGCGCTGTGATTGGCTACCCGAGCGGGCAAGATGGAGCTATCTTGCCCGCTCGGGACTACCCGCCG